GCTTATTACTAGACCGAATGTGACCACATTTCACACATATAACAAGCATAGTAAGGAGTCTTAAAATCCGCAATCAAATTTGAGAAAAAAGGTTTCGCTTCCATGGATATGCCACCATATTGGATTTTATTGACATGTCTTACGTAATGAATACCGCACTTATGGCTCATGGAAATTGATTGTTTTTTTGCTTGCGTGTTCACAAACATTAGATCTAAAAATAGTAAAGATTTGTCAGTTGTTTTTTTCCTAAACGAATTTTAAAAATTTTAAAGAATTTTTTCCTGAGGTAGCATTCAAGTTTGCGAAAAGTCCGTGAAAATCCACACTCCTGACACCACCAACAAAAATCTATTCCATATATCAAAAATTCAACAGACAAATTTTTAGTATTACATCTTCTCTTCATTCTGTAAAAATTCCATGAAGTTTGGATGAAAAATGGTGGAGTTATTCAAAAAAGTATCGAGAAAAGTCGCGTTTTGAGAAAACGGCTGATAAAGAAAAATAAAATACTGACTTTATGAGGAAATGGTGGGCACAAACATGCCCGCTATGGGAAAAAATACGGTTTGGGGGGGGGGTTCTTATGTGATGAAATAGTTGGAGGAGAGGCTGAGGAAGCTAAAAATGCCTACAACTCAAATTCCATGATTTTGAGCCGAATTTTGACTTTGGGGGTGTAGCCCCCCCCCCCCCCCTTAAGGAGTATCCAAGACTCTGTGCCGGGATAGTTTCCATGCAGCCTTGATGGGCTTTGAGAGACCGGCCCGAAGCAGGACAACTCCTTATTTAGTTGAATTGTATCGCTAGGGCGTTACACATTTGCACACCTGGAACATTTACTGTCAGTCGATGTAGGTTTCATAATCTGTAGATGGTAGGTTCGATCACTGTTCAGCTGTTCAAGAATTATTGGGGACTTACTGATTAGGTCCTGTCTCAGACAAAAGACATAAAAAACCCTTCCTCAAAAGAAAGTGTTTTAAAGTACTATGAATAACCGGATTACATCGAGATGTGACTTTAAATCATGTTAGAGTCAGACCTTACCTACACGTGAGCCCTTTCTATCCAGCCGAGTATTCCTCAGGTCAGAGCGAGAATGTTCCAGGTGTGCACAACGAACAGACTGGCGGCCTATTGCGTCTTGTCGAGCAGTTCACGTCCTTCCTTGACGGTGAGGACAGGTGAGGACAGGTGAGGACAGGCGAATGGAGAGTACCGATCCCGTTTGTGCTTTTGCAGGCCACGGCACGGAGCCTTGAGAATAACCGGTGAAGTGCTGATAAAGAGCAGGGAGAGTTGTAGCCGTCTTGATGCAGGAGAGCTTTGTTCCGATAACGAAAGACGATCTGTCGCTGCATGCCCACCACCTCTTGGGTTTAAGGATGGCTTCACCTGACGTCCACCGGCGTGTCTTCTTGGCCTGGAGAGAAGGTGTTTCCCTCTCGTGCCCCAAAATTCAGGTTTTGGTTTCAGGCTCATTGTGGCTTTTTGATGGATTGGTTTGGAAGGAGGGGGGG